CCGCAGTTGAGAGTCCAGTCATAACTTAACGGGTCATTACACCGGGAAAGAAAGTATAAACATTCTAAACTTCAGCTTTAGGAACTGCTTCATTTATTGATCATTAATAAATGCCTTGTGTCTTGAATGTTACTATAATTTCCAGCACATGTATTACCCTTAGTGACTAATTTTTACCCACAAAAATACTATTGTTTGGTCCATACCATGACTAACGTGATACCACCCTTTAGCTTCAAGACTATGAATAACTTTCTGACACAGTCTAATCAAATAACATGTCATGTGGACTCTCTCAAGAGAACTGGGAGACACGATCAGCCTAAATCTGTTATGTGTAGCCATCATTGTGGGTTTTTTATTAGTAAGATAAATATCCTACTTCCACTGTATTTTAATGCACATCTTACATGCAAAAGAGAAATGTAATATGTAGCTTACCAGTGGCTTATCATGGTTGTCACCCGGGCTGGACTACAAAGATGTCTGCCCCTCTTCATCTCCTTTACATAGGGGATGGGGTGATTAGTAGTTTACAGAAGGTTGAAAGGATTGCTTGTACTTTTACCTCAGCTTACAGGAAATGACAAGGACAATGCATTTCTGGCAAGATCAACAGGTATTTTGTGTACTTAGCCTGAAAGATTAAAACTAATTCAGCGATCACATTAAAGAACTAGTAAGCTGCAATAAATGTTCTTAAATGTAGATATCCAGTGAAGAAGCTTAAATGTAAGAATAAAAACACGGCAACAAAAGCCAAGTCCCCATGCATGAGGCATAAGAAAAAGGGCTGTTTGGGGAGCCGCGTCTGCCTGATCCAGCCAGCCCGGATCGCCGCTATGCGATCCGGGCTGGCTGGCTGGATCAGGCAGAATTCGGCATTTAGCCGAAAGTGCCATTTTCGGCCGGCGCCCCCTCCTTCACTTTTCGCCCGGGGGCCCACGCCCCTGCTGCCCCCCGGTTGTTACGCCACTGCTGGGCTGTATGATACTGGAGCATCACCTAAGAAAACAATCACAATATAAGAAGTCCCCATGACCACTTCTTCAAGAAGTGTTGATAAATTAAACCTCATTTATCAACATTACACTAGCATCATAAATTTGGTGCAAATATATTCCGCGCAAGCTCAAACACTCTTGCAATTGCCATGATAAATTCCCCCCACGGTATATTATATAAGTGCAAAACAAACCTGTTGATCTTGTAAAAAAAAATACAGAGCTCTCCTGTGTCCTCTATGCACTTCCTGTATTATGTCAAACAGCCCTTCTATTTCTTGTCTTGGACTACAGAGCGATTAGCCTTTACATTGTACATTTCTGAGAGTAGGAGTGGTTGGCTTAACAAAAGACAACTGGGAGGTCTGACACCACTCAGCCCACAAAAACAAGACTTTGGAGCTGAGTGCATTTCTGGCAGATCAACTTGTATTTTTCTGTACGTGCAGGGGGAAAAAACTGCACACGCTTACATGTGCTCTAATATTTATTAGTTGCATTGCTGTATGAGGTAGAGATTGTGTTGGAGAAACATTATATCATGTGTTTTTCAAGAGTGTAACCAAAAATACATTGCTTACTTGATTTTGAAAGGCGTCACTAAAGGCAACAGGAAATTTCAAGGGTATGAGTGCTATGCCTCGTTTTATCCAGGGATTCGCTTTGTTGAATTGTTTTATAGCTTCTCTCCTGGTGTGGTAAGCTGAACTTTCCGCACAACTTTCCCAGCATCTTGTCAGATTGGTAGTATCAAACACCTGCTTGTAAGGGGTTGTAACGACTCCCCTGTACATGTTCAGCTCTCTTACCTAAAATGCAAAAGATAAGCTATATGTTAAAAATAACAAAGTCTATTATTATTATTATTATTTTTTTTTTTTAAATGATAATAAGTGGACTCCATAGTCCACTCCACATTGTATAGCTTCTTCCCCAGCCACAGTGGCCAGGGAATGACAAGCCTGAATGCGGGAGTTACAAAATGCTCTTCACTTCTGGATTATTTCACCAGGGGGATGATCAATGAATGGATGTTCTCTAATCTTCCTCCACTCTACCAGTTCACAGCTGCTATGACTGTCCTGGGTCCACAGGAGGGGCAACATGGTCCAAGAAGATACATGATGGGGGGGGGAAGTTGGACAGGAAGTGGTGAGACATACTGGTGCACTTGGAAATGATCAAATGGCTTTACAGCAGCTGAAAAAGCTGGTAGTGTGATTATAGGCATGTGCTACGTTTAATATGATAACCCACTGTGTACAAGGAGAGCTGACCTTTTACCAAAATACAGATAGCAAGTCCCCTCATGCAATAAACAGAGATGTTCATAATAAAAGACATTGATTCTGAATGCAGATGTGTGACTTTCATATCTATTACCAGTATGTAGAATGCAATGTTGGACCAAAATAGTCACTAAGGGTTTGTTCTGAAGAACGGCCACTTTGACTGCCACCACCCACGCCGTTCCATTTGAATGGAATTCTATTTCCAGGCACAACCAAGTATGTGACATGTACATGCCAAGTGTCACTTACCTGATGAGCTGGTAAATTGCACTTGGCAGCAACTTCATCGATCCACACTTCCGTGACCAGAGCTGACTGTGGAAACCCAAACCCTCGAAATGAGATATTGGATGGCAGATTTGTCTTGCATACTCTTCCAACACATCTCAGATTAGGGATAATATAGGAAACATCTGTCTGAAGCACTGAAATCTCCATGATCTATATGAATAAATAAAGAAGTATCACCAAGGACAAGTGACAAGCCTAAATAATAAATAAAATGAAGTCAGCTCCATCTTAAAGAGGACCTTTACCCATATCTTTAAAATAACAACAAACACACCTTTAGAAATGTTTAGTAATAACAATCTACAAACACATACTTCTAGATAACTTGTCGGCTTTGTATTATTTGTATACCTTATTTCTCTTTTCTTCCCCAGTCTTCTGACAGTGATCTTGTTTATTAAAGGCAGATTACTAGCTCTCCTATTACTTCCTGGAACTCTGGTACATGTGACTAGACATGTGACTAGGACATGTGACCATGCACATCATCTCAGGTGAGGAAAATGTCTTTCCCTGAGATCTCATGAGACTACAGATGAGATTTCCCAGCAATGCTCTGCTAATGACATGGCAATCCCAGTGCAGTGCACAGCAGGTTACACCTGACATGTCTATGGTATGATTAATCATCATACATATAGAGGGATGCATTGGTAGAATTAGATTTTTGAGTGTAAAGGTCCGCTTTAAGTATTTACAGTTTACACAGTGTAGCTTTGCCTTAGCAGACTTGGGCATTTATTAAAATTACAAAGGATTTAGGAAACAAATTGTGTATTGTGTATTTTCAGTAAGAAAATACTCTGAGCCATTATTACAGTGTTTACCTTGAAACTAAACTAGAGGACAACAGCTCAATATACAGTTATAAATACATCAATTTTAGGTTTTGCATTTCTGTCCATTAAGTCCTCCCCCTCTGCTCGTTCTGCTCTCTTTGCTTGTCACCTTGTTCCTTGTAAAGACATGCGCACACAGCAAACGTGACCGGGGCCCCCTTTCCAGAATTTTTCTTTCTGAATTCTACTGTAGAAGGGATTGCAATAAATTGATAACAAGTCAAATTTAACACAAGTTGCAGTTAAAGAAGAACTCCAAGGAAAATTATTATTAACCCTTGCAGTGGGGCTATTAACTTTTGCAGTGGGGCTACCCCCGCCCCCCGCTGCAAGTGTTAAGTGCTCGTTTTGGTTTAGGGAGGAAAGTAACAAAGGTTTACTCACCTGATCCTCAGAGCTGGCTTGCTCGGTCCTTGCCACCTCACTATCCTCTGCTGCAGCGGTCGATACACAGTAAGACATGAGGACGCCGAGGGACATTCCATTGTTGCAGCGTAGGATGAGACAGGCAGGAAGGGGTGCTGTCACAGCCAGCCAGTTCCGAGGATTGGGTGAAAATTTCTGTTATTTTCCTCCCTAGACCCACTGCAAGGGTTAATAATAATTTTCCCTGCAGTTCTTTAATGAATACATACCAGCATAAATTAGTGTTTTTTATTTATGTCTGGAGTTCGGCTTTAAAGTAATTTTTATGTGACATATTTAGACCTTCAATACTTGCTCTTCCATGTAGCCACCTTGCCCTAAGCAGAGGGAATCCCTAATTGTAGTCTGCTAATTTGATAGTCTGTGTTCACTTGGTTTCTCATAAACTCCCTGTTATTTTTTGCATCTGTCTGCTTTTGGGTGTGACCTTGCCACAGAGCAGAGCATCCAATAATATGAGGTATGAATATATGTGTCTCCCAAGCCAATCACTCGGAGGTTCACGGCCAGTGGTGCAAGCTGGGGGAGGACATAAATATTCAGGGCTGACCTTGTGAGAGTCTCTTTTCCCCCGTGCCTACTGCTGGGGGGATGGTGCATGATGTAATGTGCTGTCTGACCAGGTCTGCAGCCTGCAGGTGAACAGAGTCGAAATCTGTTCCTGGGATGGAGAACCAGAAATGAAGTGCCAAAGAAACCAGGATGGGTTCTACAGCTAAAGTTCTACAATACACAGTGTTTAAAGGCTCTCTGCACTGTGAAGCTGGGAAGTGGTCGGTGAGTCTGGAGTTCTGTACGGTCCTAGATGTCTGTAGCCATTTACCCTCTCTCTCATTAAGTTGCTGATGGAATAAAACCTTTAGTAACTGGCACCCAACTTTACATTCACATCCCACAACCGGCTAAGGACTCATCACTGAGGTGAAATGTCAGCCCACCCTGAAGTCCCCCACATGCTCCTAGCAGTCAGGGGGGTGCTACACATGTTTGTTGTTGTATTGAATGTAGAAATTTGTACATTAGCAACTAGAGACAGGATCAATCAGCTACTGCAATCAGGGTTTTAATCAAATTCAGGGTCCATGGTCAAATTCACCATTTACAGCATCACCCCCAAATGGTTAGAACCCAGAAACTGTACTATTCATTTCATTCTGTATGACATTTGCACTCATTGTCTTATTTGATTTAACCACATTTGCTCTCAACTTTTCCATGTTATTTAACAATGAAGGACACAAGACTATAATTTATAGTTTATCTGTTGATGTCACAATGTATTTGTTGTAAAGTAAATTTTACTTGGTTAACAGTTTAACAAAGTACAATATTTAATGAAAAAGCATCTGATCTGTCTGTCTGTGTTGCAAATGTGTGCTCGGCTGAAATTGCCCTTAAAGTTGCCAGCAATTTAATATACTATTCAAAGGTGTAAAAGTGCCTATGACTTACAAATATAGATTCTGTCCCCGAACATCCACCATTGCTGTATAAACTGACATCAGCCGCTATGATTCTGCCATCATTCATATATCCCACCTGTAAAACAAATACGCATTAGTGTTTTTCTAAAGGCCCACTCACACTATACTCGAAGCGTTTTAGCATGCGGGCTATTGTGAGGTGACAGATCGGTTGGATGTGATGCGCTGTCTCAGCATTATGGGCGAAAACAAAAGAGAAGGGCGCCCACCCTAGTGTAGATAGTTTTTAATGATAAAAATAGAAGTGCAGAATAAAAACATACTCACAAAATTGAATCAAAGTAAAAGTATAGTAGGCAAGCCTGAATTACATCTAAAAACAGCTGCACAGGTGCCTGTATAACAGCACAGGACTCCTTCGATGACACGTTTCCGGGGCCACGCCCCTCCATCTGATGAAGGGGGCGTGGCCCCAGAAACGAGTCATCGATGGAGTCTGACGAAGGGGGCGTAGCCCCGGAAACGCGTCATCGATGGAGTCCTGTGCTGTTACACAGGCGTCTATGCAGCTGTTTTTAGATGTCATTCAGGCTTGCCTACTATACTTTTAGTTTGATTCACTTTTGTGAGTATGTTTTTATTCTGCACTTCAATTCTTATCATTAAAAACTATCTACACTAGGGTGGGCGCCCTTCTCTTTTGTTTTCTCCCATAGTGTTGCAGCTTCCCAGGCTGAATTGGGGCAGCGCACCACAACTCACATCCCTGTTGTCTATGTACCCTACTGGTGACTGGTGTTGCTCAGTTGCTGAAAAATGCCAGCCACTACTTAAAGTGTACACAAGCCATACCAGTTACAAAGTGATATTTTACATATGTTACTTTATCAATGCGTATTACCTAAAAAATGAAAGTCTATACACAACCTGATTCCACCCCAATCTGATTGCCCAATTCCGCCCCGGTTTAGGCCGGGTTTCCTTAGCAAGGGGGGAGTATGACCTCTTCCAGCCATTGGTAGTGTTTATTGTTGCTAACGGTAATGAACAGTAACAAAGGTCTTCTAAGTTGTTATGAAGTCTCTGTCCAATGGGAACTGTCATGGCATTCAGTATGAAGAAAGGTTTATTTATAGAAATAAAATTCAGCATAAACAGAAGTTGATTAATATGAATGGCCAATTTTCTTTACAGAACTCACTTTATATTTTCCAAGGTAGGGGTGTCGTCCTGCAGTAATCAGCATATCTTCAGCACGCTCCAGAATGCAGCGAACAGGAAGTTTGCTTCTAAACAATACAAACACAATGGCTTGTTTAAAGACAGACTGGACACACATTTCTCTGTTTGCATCCATGGATTTTTATTAAACATAATAGGACCTTGCCTGTAGATGGCAGTGCCTGTGAGGAGCCTGATCAATTCTCCCCCCAGTGATCTACATTATATCTACACCCTACCCTGCTGGCCTCTGACAGATAGGAAAGGCTAATCAGAAACAAATGGGGCATGCATTGTACATTCTGTCAATTGTTTAGTAAAGCAGTCGATTCAAAGAACTGGGGTCCTTGTGCTTTTACTTTTTGGTGAAGAAGTGTTAGTGTTTGAGTAGAGTAGGGATGAAGTTCAGGTTCACTGCCACCATGGGTTTTCAAATTCAAATTTCAATTCAATTGGAATTGAATGCTTGGCTTAAAAAAAATCGCAGGTTCACCACCAAAAATAAGGAACAACCTATAATGCAGTGTTTTTCCTGGTCACAAGGGGCCAGTAATTTAAAATAATGCATACAAACCCCTTTCTATAAAGGAGTGTGTGACGGACTGGCCTGGTCCAAACCCACTGTTACGTCAATAACACGTGACTATATGCAGTTCCGAACCGAGTGTTGTGGTGATACCACTCCCAGCCTCACCCTGCACAGAGATTTCCCAGCTCATGGGACACCAATCTCAGGTCAGCAGACTGACAGCGATCATCACTAGTGTTTGTTTAACTCTGCAGTTAACCCTTTACACACACAACAGTAGTTGCCACCATGTGTTTTAATGGAAACATGAACTCAGCAAACGCTGTAACAATTCAAAAACTTAAACAAAGCCTATGATACTATTGTCCTTTTAGACTAGAATATGACAGATTTCACTATACAGTAGCACTCTTCACAGAGACAAGGATACTTTAAGTTCTTAATTAGAGCTTAGAGATAAGCTTAACCATTTTTAAGATCATCCTTTAATAAAAGAAATGCTGCAGAGAAAATATACAGAGAAAGATGTTAAGAGAGACAGAGATAACAACAGTAAAAATAAAAAAGGAATAAAAACGAGATTATTCAACAGTCTTGGGTTTATAAGTTTTAACAGAGTCCAGTTCAATGCACAGAAGATGGATCTGAATGGCTCTTTCTGCAAGTAAGGCTTGCAAAGATATTTCTTGAGGTTAAAGGCGAACTCTTCTTGGATGTTACACAAGCTTCTCCTTTTGATGTTACAAAAGGCTCCTCTTGATGTTAAAACAAGAGCCTTTTAGCTGCCTTTGCAGCATCTTTTTGTCAGTCCTCTAGGGGGTGTCATGGAGCTGGCCCATATGACAGGGCTGGGGAGGGTGGGCAGAAGGGCTAAGCCTTTACGATGTCCTTCTCTGCTTCTCTCAAACTGTCAATTTATAACTATCCACACAATATTTAATATTCTTACATATTATTGTCCAATAACCCCTAAATTATTGTGCATCATGAAATTAGCTTTAGATAACCAGGAGGGTTAATGTGGCTTGTCAGCCCTCTGACCATCGTAAACCCACCCATTGATTTCTCTTGCCGAGACACAGCTATTTAGGCAATTAATTTTACAATATCACTCTCCCAATTCCGAGTTATGAAAATTGGGTTAATATTGTCACTCTCAGTTTATGATTCCTTATTTATCCACCAGGTGATCTGTAGGGAATTAGCTGAACTGTGCAAGACAATTACCATTGTATTAGCAATTTACAACACCTATCGTAAAAGATCATTAAGGCTAATCCACCCCAGGCCTAGGGAAAGCTCTAGATAAACAATCCAATTTGATCAAAAGAACCAGATTAGCCGACATCTGGTGCTGGAATTTGGGGATGCCTAAACAAAATTATGGGCAGCCTGAGGTAATTTGAACTAGAAAGACTGAATTTTTCCCACAATAAGGGAAGAGCGAATTTCATAATGAATGTTCATATGCTCAAACCTTATTACCGTCACAGGGTGGACTCGTAAAAGCCACTTTGCCAGTGTATTGAAGCTTTTAGGAAGGGCTAACAGCTCTGTAGAAGGAGATTTTTTTTACATTTTTTTGCATAGGTAAATGTTCCCCATGGCAGTGCCCACCTTTCCATCTAAATATTGCAGCTTTCACTTAATTAGAAAACTAGTAGGTGCAATCAGGGTGTGTCTGAGTCTAGGGAAAAGCATATGTACAAGGGAGAATCAAAAAGTAAAGGCAAACTACATTTACAGTAACAGCTTTAATAGAATTAATTGTGAGCACTTGAACATTTGACTTTTCCACATAGTCCCTATGCAAGATGCACTTGTTGTATCGTTCAACTAGCTTCTGTATTCCTGCAGAGAAGAATCTTTTTGGCTGCTACTGAAGCCAAGTGTGCACCGCTTCCTTTACTTCATCATCTGAGGTGAACCTACGACCGCGGAACACCTCCTTCAGCAGACCAAATATGCAATAATCGCTCAGCGGCAGTGACAATTCTCTCCAGAATACTCCAATCTTCTTCATAGAAGAACTGGGTTACAACCTCCACATGCTGCTTGTCAGAGCAGAAAGCTGTTTGGAAACCCATTGTGCACAGACATTCCAGTATCCCAAGTTATACTGAACTATGGCAAATGCGGATCCATATCTGATGTCCAAATGTGCAGCTAACTGGGAAACTGTTATCCGTTAATCTCCTCTATTCAAGGCATCCGCTCTCCTTGTGGTCTTGTGTGTGCAATGTTGATGAGCGACCAGAACGAGCTTTGTCGGTTACACCTGTTCTTCCCACTCATAAACATTTCATTGATTCATGGTGCTATGACCATACTGTGGCAACATCCACTGGTTTCACTCCCTCTGCCCAAAGAAAACACACTGCAGCACGTTGTTTTTCGATGGTTCAATATCGCAACGGGGTGTTCATGTTGCTGTCCTTATGACAACCATTCAACTAAAGTGCGAGCACTGTACTGCACATTGTCAAACTATCCAACACACTAAGTATGCTACATTGTGCAAGCTTCTCTCTGTTCCGATTACCACGTAATTTATAAATTGCTTTTACTTTTTGACTCTCCCTCATATTTCTTGCTGTGTACTTGTTGCAGATTCTCCCTCACTTCCTGTTTGGTAGAACCATTGTCAGCAGGACAACCATTTAAGGTAAATCTCTCCAACCTGAGCCCCAGATAGCAGACGGGAGTTCCAATCTTCTCCACTTGCTTCAAAACTAGAAAAAAATGTTTTTAGCTTGACAAACACTTTAATACAAGATAATATAATCCCACAGAACTATGGACTTTTTTAAAGGAGCACAACAGAAGCTGTCTCCCTTCAGACATTCTGTCTCAGTAAAATTGTAGTTGGGAGCCCCAGGAAGGGATAGTGAGGGGGATGAATCACTGCGCTGGCTCATTCACTTCTTTATGTAGATTTTAGCTCTGCGTTCAGAAGGCTTTTTACAACAGAGTGTTGAGGAGAAGCCGGAAAACAGAAGATGAGTTGCCTAAAGCCCACCTGCTGTCTACTTGTAAAAATACAATATAATTTGCAATTTTTTTATACATACACCTGGCTGAAAAAATATTCTTCAAACTTGTATTTTTTTTCCACTCTACATTTCCTAAATGGCCTAATCCTTGCCCAAGGGTCATATTAGCAGAGGGAATATAACGCAGTTTATGGCCACCCTAATACAATAAACAGCACAAGAAGGAAAGTTAAAAGGCATTGTTACAAAGCAATCCACAATTCACTTTACCAGACCAGGCACAAGGACCAAATACAAGCTATTAAATTCTTGCCATGGGTCATGCATTAAACAGGTTGTCTCCTGCGATGCATCATTGATAAGTCAAGGAAGATGTGAGAACTAGGGATGCACCGATATATCGGCGCCGAAACATATCGGCCGAAAATTACACTTTTGGCATAATGCCGAAAGAGCCATGTTTCGGCCGATACATCGGCGCATCCCTGGTTTCTTTTCTCCCTGCTGGGCGCTGTTCCAGCGGGGAGAAAAGAAAGTAACAGCCGGCCGAGCGCTGCGTTGGAGAGCGCTGTGAGCGGCTGGCGTCAGCTCCCACACCGCTCTGCCGCCTATCACAGTCCGGCAGAGCGGTGTGGGGGCGGAGACAGCGCTGTCACAGGAGGCTGAGCGCTCCTCCCACAGAGGTTTTAGAATTTCCATTTCGGTGCACCTCTAGTGAGAATATTAGTCACAACTATCATTCTGTATTTGTTTTTTTGTAAAACAAACCAGTTAGTTCCAGAGAGAGATACAGAATCAATATAAGGTCTACAAATCAAATATTATGACTCATCATAATGGAGAAAAGTGACACTTACTTTTTAGCCGCCACAGCTGTGATCGCCGCTATGTAGGCTGTCTTCACAATCTTTCCACCAAAAGCCCCTCCAATCCTTTTCACATGGCAACTGATGCGGTTAGCGGGTATGCCTAACGCTTTGGCTACGAGGTTCTGTATAAGAAAAATATAAACATGCATACCAACATTTTTTAACATATTTTAGTTTGAGCCAGTGTAGGGTTATGCATTATTTTTTTTAATGCAGTCATAGACAAGGGATGTTAACTAGCCTAAAGTGACACTAAACTCAGGAGTTAAATCTTAAAAATGCATTCAAGTATGTTAACTATTAACAACAATGTATCTTATTTGTGTATCACTCAGCCGTAGATCCTCAAATCATCTCTGAATTGGTGCTGACACTCCTTCCTTCTGGTGGGTGGCTACTTTTGTTCCCCATGGTCCCTGTGTGTGTTGTAAAGTAGCCCCTGCTGGAAGCTTGCTCCTGTGATGGACTACAATCTCACGATTAGTCTACAGATTTTTATTGAAATTATAGTCCATCACAGGAGTGAGCTTGGAACGGTGGCTACTTAACAACACACACAGGGACCATGGGGAACAAAAGTAGCCACCCTCCAGAAGGAAGGGCAGTGTCGGCACCAATTCAGAGATGATTTGTTCTTTAATATTTGCATAAAACCAACATTTTAGTAGTATTGTTTTAAAACACCAGACACACACTCAAATACACAGTTCAAATACATATATATTTATTGTTTTACCTGCCAAAGGGTTTTTAATTTTGGACACATTTCTTGTAATACTCACACACCCCTGCTAGTTCGATTTATCTGTGTCTTGTTTTAGCATTACTTTTCCTGAGTCAGCTCCCTGCTCCTTGGATAGAGGTAATGACATTGATTGATCTTTAAAAGAGGAGGCTTGAGGAGGAGTGGTGACATTGGAAGCTATATTGCCGAATAAGGACGTGGGTCAACTCACTGGCTATGCACTGTGGCAGTAATGTTAACCTCTTACCTAGAGTCCTATTACAATTTGTTGCGTTGTTTAGGACATGGTGTTCGATTTATATAGCTAGGGTAACATGTATTGTAGAGATATGCATTTCAGAATATCACTAAAGGAACATTTACCTTTTATTTTCTGCATATAGCTATTGACATATTACACAACTTTTCACTGTCCTTGTCTCATTGTTTCTTTAATGTACATTTGGCCTATTGGAGAAAAACATAATGCAAAAACAGGGAGAAAGTAAAACCCCAGGCGGCCTGGATCAGGGGCTGACTGGCAACTTTTAGCCCAGGGGGCAAGTACAACCCAGAGGCCCATGGTGCAGCAACTTGGCCCCCCTCCCGCTCTGCCTCTTCCCCGCAGAAAAAAAAACCTTTAAATATTACTGGAATTGAACCTGCAACCTTAGCTATGGCAAGCCTGTGCTTTAACCACTACTCTATAGCCTCTGTATTGTAAGCATAGAAGCATTTGAAGGATGACCTATCTGCACTACAGAAGCCTCTCCTCTGCTTACAAAAGTTTGTAATTTGATATTACATAACATCAGGACATGTATCCGTGGTCTTTGGTTTTAAATGTGCGCTCCAAAGTCACTGTTTTGATGGAAAACTGCCAGCTTGTGGCAAACATCTAAAAATTCTGCCTTACAACTCCAGGCAGATTGTAATATTGCAATAAAATTATTGAGTAGCCCTCTTACTCCCTTCACAGACTTTCATAGCACTGGTCCTTTATGACTGACACTACACCCACATTAAAAGTCACCTAATTTTACCCATGGGTGTCATATATAATTGGAAATGGAGACGCAAACCCCTCCTCTAGATTGACGCTAAACCTGATTGACAGGGCTGTGAGTTTAAAGGAACAGTTTGGGCTTCATTTTGCTTCTCTCTTCCTCTTCTTGTGTGCTGTCCAAAACTCTGTACACTAAACCCATGGCAGCATTTTACCTGTCAATAAATAGGAAGATGCTGCTGGGAAATGTGGTCTCTCTTACTTATGCAACTCTCCTTTACCTATTAAATAGATTTATTCTCATCATGTAATAGTGCAAAATGTTATATTTAGTTTTTCTCGGAAATATTTGCTTACTGTCTGTTTATTGTATTCGCCTGTTTGTATATGTGAATACCTTCTGCTTTAAGAAAAAATGTCTGTGCTACACACTAATTAGAGAGGACTGTTTGATTGTTTAGACCCTTTTCACCATAACCTGCATGGTTATACTGTTCCATTGGGACACAAGCCCACCCATAGATGACGTGGTTTTAATACACTGCAAGATGGTGGCCAAATAGCCTGAAACAGCTGCATACAGTTTGAAATAAATGGCTCTATAATATTAGGCTATATTTGCAAAACATTTCTGGATGTGAACCTGGCCAATGAAGGTGAAAAACTATGATGTGTATGGCTCTGCCCATTGTCCTGAAATGGGAAATAATCCTCTTATTTTAGGAATATGCGATTGAATGAGACATGTGAATGCCTTCTGTTTTAGGAAGGTTTTACTGTGCTGTTAACCAATTAGTTTAGGGCGTTTTGAGTGCTTTCATCCCTTCTCACCATAACCTTTATGGTTATACATTTATTCTAATGGATAGCTGTGATAATCACTGGTGTTATTTTTCTATTATTATTGGCAAATGCATAGTAGTTGAACATAAATGAAATGGTGGTATAATAAAGGGTTGGCGGCTCAGTGTGGTATGAGATGGAATAATGTGCACTCTGTTATAAGAAATGCACTATACCTCATGTAAAGTGTTGTATTAATGTGTCCCTAATTTCATTTGAAAAGAAAAAGGTAATTTTAGCATGAATGGGTCATTTTGCCATCGGGAGGCAAATATCCAAAAAAATACTGTAAATGGTTATGTTACAACCCTGCTTTTAAAATCTATTTCAGTAGACATCAATGGACTGAAAGCAAATCATTATATGCTACCAGAATTAGAAGGAAGATGCAGCTGTATGAATGTTTGTATTGTTTTTTTCTGACATTGAATGCGTTTAGTACCATGAGGTCATGGACTGAAACCTAAATGCATACTTTGTGTTTGCCACATATTCATGCAGCATAGAACAGCTATTTTATATCTTTCATGTCCTCTTTTTCTGTTCTGATATTTGCTGTTTAATTCTTCATAAAATGAAGGAAAAAAGGAACTGAGCATTTTTCTTTTAATTACTGGTTCAAAGGCCTGCAGGGTGATTTGATGATATATTTGTCACTGCACTACAGTTTTCTTTTGATTTTGCCCATAAACTCCAGCTGATCAAGGCATGCTTCATCCCCCTGAATGCACTTGAGGTTCATTACAATTCCTGATGTTTTCTTGGTTCCCTAACCAAAAGATGCTAACAAAATAACTGTAAAAATATAGCTATTTAATTCACCAAATGAAAAGGAGAATATCTGGGTGCACAATAATCATTAACACAAAGCACAGTTCTCACATTGCAAAATTCAGTACTTTAGTAAACACCAATATCCAGCAGATGGTATTCTTGCACTTTGTATGAATCCAATCTCCCTGATTCTTTTAATTTTTTCTATAGCCTTTATTCTTCTTTGCAAAGAGGAACTCAGAGACAAATGCAACTTGACATAACATTGTATCATGGCATACAAATTGAGACTGGAGTGAACAGAAATTTCAAATAAAACAATGCGAGAGCAATAAATCTTATAGTCCTCTGGACACATACAAATTGACCATTCCAGATATTGAGGTCTGTAACCTTTAAGTATAACCATGACTAACTTGTTTCAGGGGGAGAGATGTTAAACAGACAATGATGAGATGACTTCTTTATTATAGGTCATAAAGGTCAAAAACGAGAAGAGGGTGAAAAGACATGGGAGATATAAATGGTACAAATTAACCATCAATTGGAGAACATATAAAGTATCAGATAACACTAAGAATGAGAGGAAAATGAAGCTAAGGATGGGGTATGGGGTAAGACCCAGAGCAAAAGAGAAGTGGTAGAACAGAGGGGGATAAATAAGAACATCAGATAGGCAAGGGGGTCAAGAGATCAGGGCCCAGGGGAAAAGAAGCATGGGAGAGTCAAGAAGAGGAAAGGGGTGAGGGGTTACCCATGGGCCAGCAGCTTTAGGAGAGAGCCTGCATTGAGGGTGGCTGAGTAACTAAAGCCTTGCCTTCATCTAAGTGAATGAACTCAAGCCAAAAAAAACAGGTTTTGTAGTATTTTTCGTGTTTGTTTTGGGAGGAGGGAGTAAGGTCTTCCAATTTCCTAATCTCTTCCTCCTTGTGATGTCACAGTGAAATTGAAGGGGGTAGGGGAAGGGTCTTCCAGATATGGGAGATGCAAGATTTAGCTGTGTTGCATCCCCCATATCTCCCCAAAAATAAGACCTACCCCGAAAGTAAGACCTAGCACTATTTCTCAAGATTCCTGTAATATAAGACCTACCCCGAAAATAAGACCTAGTTTGGTGGTAGCATGTGAGGGGGAACTTGAAGAGCAGGAGAGATGGTATCAGCCTGCAGGGACATACTGTATCGGGATGACAGGGGACTCCCTTAGCCGGCGCAGTGAAGTACCATACTTCACCAACTGCTGACCCCCGAAGGCACTGCTTAATGTAATGGTACTGTACTGTAATGTGTACCGGTAAATGGTACCATACTTTACCGCGCTGTCCACTGTCTGATGTCCGCACTGCTGGTACAGCTGTCCGGTACTGTGACAGGCAGAGTGATACCAGATAACTTTGGATTGTTGTACATGAATAACTTTAGATTGTTGTACACATTTTGTTGCACATTAAAAAAAAAGACATCCCCTGAAAATAAGACTTAGTGTGTTTTTGTGGGGCAAAAAAAATATAAGACAGTGTCTTATTTTCGGGGAAACACGGTACCACAAACCTGAATTTCCAAAACAATGTGTAACTAATATATTCAGAATTATGCAAAGCACATTTTATAAGCCACAGACCTGCATGTATGTTGGATCCTGCGTTGCTGCATAAATCTCAATTTCCTGGTTCTCTGTTTTGGGGATAACACGGATGCTTTGAGTCTCCATGTAGAAATGCTCCTGTCCTCCAATATGAATCTCACCTGTTGCATGCAAGTAATAATAGAAGAGTCAATACATTTTATGCAGCTTCCACCTTGCGATGTGTATTCTTACTATATTATAACATATTATAGTAGTGAATCAGGTACACTCTCAGTTCCTTAGGATTTCAAGGATCACATTTTGATATACTATACAAGTGGTACTTGGATATATCTCCAACAAATAGTATTAAGTCCATACTCAGAAAACAAGCTAGGCACACACCACTGTTTTAGTCCACAAATCCGCATTTTAATTGAACTTGAATCCATGTTAATCATAAAGCGACATGATGCAGTACTGGGACAGAGTTAGAAGTTGGTAGACAACTATCACCAGCATTGTCCCTGTTTCTCAATTCAGTCCTGCTGTTGTGTGCACTGCATTATGTTATTTTATAGTTGATAAGCATTCCATATGTAAAGAAATTCTTACTTATTTTTCATACCTTCAAGTATGTTGTCTGCTGTTTTAAAAGCCTCATCAACGTTTCCATAATCTAGCTTTTTCTCGGGTTCAAAGAAAGAATTGTGTTTTATTGCATCCTGGAATGAAAGGCCTCACAATATAAGATGGATGTTCATATTGTCTATGTGACAGGTAATACATTGGATGCACAGCTTTATATACCAGATCAATATTCCTCAATTTCAGCTGTATGGTAAAGTGTATGGAAATACACTTTAAATGGAGTCTGGAAGGGTTAAAATCTCTGTCAGGATATATTTTTGCTGTCTATGTCCTGCTGCAGAGAATTATCTTTTAGTTCCTGTCCACAACAGGAAATAATAGGAAATCTTCACAACGTGAAGGAGTCCCATATTGGACGGTTTGCCCCCATTAGATGATTTGCACTTGTGTCTTACTCTGGTGACAACTTGAAGTTTTGGATTTCCCCTCACTTTCTGTCTCAGTGACAGTGATCACCAGGACAAAAAAAAGAGGGGTGAATCTTCCCTGTGGGGCACGGGCCGCAAGTAAAACCTGCCAGAGGGTCTAACCCTTCCCCACTTCATCCAAAACTTTAAAAAGTTTTGTCTTTACAGAACAGGAAACTCTGAATGAGGTACAGTATACAAGAGAGTTCAAATGCTTTGGGGCAGAGTGGCAATAGGAAGAGAAATTTGAAGGCCAAGCGCGCAGTATTATATATTAACGTTGTTTGAAGACTAGTAATTTATAATATGAATATTAAAAAGCTGTCATCCTTAGAATATATATAGGTGTCTGAGTATTCATGTTTATGTGGTGTGGGCTGGAGAAGGTAACCAGAAACCTTCAGCATATGCTTTCCTTGGGTGAAAGAACAAACAAGATTTTCTACCTGGTCCTGTCAATTGTTCCCCTAGGATTTGTTGGACAGTAGTTTCCATGGACTCAGTCTGGATAAAAAATGAATCAGATGACTTTCATCTCACGATGATCATTGGACCTTCTATATTGCTGGTGGAGCAAATTGTATTACCCCTGAAGTAATGATGTGGCTGATAGGTGGTAAACCCCTTTGTTTAGGGCTGGTTGTTCAATTCTTTTAACCAATTGTTTTCTCAGCCTAAGAATAGAGACTTTACAGTTTGCAGTGGTGTAATGTACCTTTAGATGCACATTAACTGCTGGCATTTGACCTTTCATACTTATAAAGGAAGGAAAACAGGTAAAGTATTAACTTAATATTTATATGAGGTATATATGATCAATGTTTTCATTAGTTTAACTTTATCCCCCAAATATTTAGATGTGGGAATGTTGGAGGCGAACTGTTTCCAACACGTCTTTTTTCTTATTGCTTACCATTCTCCCCTGCTGGCAATGCTAATTCCCTCTGTTAAAGGGTACCCTTTGTCTGATCATTGGCCAACAGTCTCCAGCTAGCAGAATGGAAAGGGATGCTTTCCTTTAATGTTGAACACTGGCGGAACTACCAGGGTCGCAGCAGTCGCAATTGCGACCGGGCCCTAGCGTTCCGCCTGTTGAGGGGGGCCCGGAGAGGAAGCAGTGGGCACGAAGCTTCCTCACGCTGCCCCCCCCTTCCGGTTAGTGCCACTCCCTCCCCCGTCGCGCCCTGAATGTACGGGCGGCTGTGCGGAGAAGTAGAGGAGGCTGCGCCTGTCCCTTGGCTGCCTGGCGGGCTCCGACACAGCAGGCACCGCCAGGCAGCACATTCTTCTGTTGGGAGAGGATGGACCACTCAGTCCCGCCCCCTGGCCGCCAAGGATGAAGCAGCTGTGCCTGCTGCACGAGTCAGGTAAGGCCAGTGTGGGGGAAGGTGGGGGCGCACGGAGGGGGGGAGAAGCTGTCATTATTATTTACATTATAATGTATTGCTGGGATTGGTAGTCCTACATAGCTGGTGGTATTCTGCATTGCTGTATGATGATTATACAGCGATGCAGAATAGCACCAACTATGCAGGACTACCAGTCCCAGCAGTACATTATATTATTAGGTAGGGATGCACCAGTGCCAATACTGGGCATTTTCACAAGTCCTCTTGAAAATGCCCCAATACTACGCACAGGCAAAATTACCGTGGAGGGTTATGTGGCCAGTCAGGGAACTCCATTTGCATGCACTATTTTTTCTGAGCGCACCGGAACTGCAGGCATTGATTTGTCTTGTGTTCCGGTGCAGGCAACCGCACTTTGGCCGGGGGGCTGTCTGCGGTGCCATTGTGTCAGGGATACCGGTAAAGGTGAGCCCACACCTGCGCAGGTATCCACACAGGCAGACCAAACACTTATGACCACACCAGACAGGGCAGAATGTTATATATACAGTTTATTCAACAGAAAACTAAACAACACCCAAAAGCAAACATAAATAAGTAACCTCACCCAGACTACTAGCAGGTAATGGCAACAGGAGGACAAGCACGTAATGGCAACAGGAGGAAAGGCAGGTAATTGTAACAAGAGGAAAGGCAGATCTACAAATGGGTAACCGGGCTCGGGACACAAACAAGGTACAGGACTGGTAACAGGACTCTGGACAGAAAGCAGGATTCTCTGGAACTGGGGACTCAGGCTTCAAGTTTCAGGAAATGATACTGAGCCATCATCCTGACTGCAGGGAGGGTTTAAATATCCTCCCAGGAAGCACCAGGTGATGGCTAAGTACTGGCAGCTGGGAAACACCCGCAGGTGAGCACTGGAGCTGCATGTCTCAGCTCCTGCGCCACCTAGAGGCGCTCTGGATCCTAACACATTGACTTTAATGCACCGCCACGCCCCCTCCCACCCCAGAACGCAGTGAGGTGGCCGGGATGCGATCCAGTGTGTTCCAGCACCAAATCGGGCCAGAACGTACTGGAGCTGGTGTGAACTAGCCCTGAAAGTTATAACATACATACTATTTAATAGAGAAAAAAATAGGTATCAAAATCATGTTTTTTTTATGGGGGGCCCTTAATGGCTTCTTGCACCAGGGCCCTGAGGTTTCTAGTTACGCCTCTGATGTTGAAATAGTAGCAGTGAATGTCCTATAAATGGTCTTTATTGGTTTTAATTATTTTAATGACTTTCTTTAATTCTTAATAGACTGAGAAGGGACACAATGATCAACTGCCCAAAGAGATTAACTAATGTTAGTATTCACTTACAGTCCATTTGGATATGATTGGGATTTCACTGAAGTAGCTATGCCAAAGTGAAGGCTTAAGGTACGAAAGTTTCAATGTCTGCAAGCTTGTGATATAGATGTATGGAACTGCTCTAATATCATTGACAAGTATATTTGTATATTTATATTTGATTTGATTATAATACAGTATTGCAATTGGTGATTAAAACACCAATAGTGTCACTTAAAATGCTGTAAAAAACTCTCATACCTCTATAGTGAGTATCACAGGTTCTATATCTTCATAGACAATCTTCACCTTTTTAGCTGCTTGTTTGGCATGCTCTGGTGTATCCGCAACCACAGCACAAACTATGTAACCAACACACAGGACCTTGAAATAAAGGCAGGCAAGTAATTTTTTCAACTATACATGTAAAACAGATCAACTTAAAGTGTATCTAAAGTGTAGAGAGTAGCGATAGAGATAGCAACACTGTCAGGTTTTTATTGCTGTGTCCGTGCTCTCTCTCCCTGTCCTGGTTACCACCATGTTTTTACCATTCTCTACTTTATCTAGAACTAAAAAAAGTTTGGCTTTAGATATACTTTATCATAATGTGTATTACTATATTAAAAGTTATTTATCTTTATATTTATTTTTGTAGCTACTGTATATACTATGCATGAGGACAACCTTTTTACTTACTGTTAATGATTGGCAGCCAGAGATCATGTGATCTAGTTATGATCTAGGTAGGTACTCGTTAACAGCATTTTTTTTTCAATTTATAGCTCTCTGCCTCGTAAATATTGACAATATTAGCCACTTACAGAATGCATTGTTTTTAACGATTTGGCTAATACACAGTCCTATGTTGGCTGACACACACTCCAGTCAAGATGATCTCATTTACATATATAGCTATAAAAACAGGGACAGTAGATTCCCTTAAACAAGATAACGTTTTTTTATCTGACTCATTTATATGGCAAAAACATTTTACAAATACTAGAGCAGTTAATGGGACGAAAATTCGGTGAACGAAAACTAAACGGAAATCGGACGGACAATTGCATGACAACTTCTGGTTCCCTGAACACTTCCTCTTCCTGGCAGTAGGCAGATGTGCACAATTCAGCATACTGATCTACCCAGCGGGACACCAGCTAACACAGCACCTGCTGCACAGCCACGAGCTGTACAGGAGACATCATGTCAGCAGGGAGAAAGAGAAGATGTATGGATGCATTTACATTTGATGCTGACGAGAACAAGCATGTTCAAACCTTAATACTTTAAGTAATAACAGGTTAATAGAGGTTTACTCCAGGAATATATAATGAAATAAGTTTGAAAATTCCAGAGAATTGCTTAAATAATGCATTACACTAAAAATAAACCCAATAGATTTTAGTCGACTAATATCGACTGGAATTTTCGTCGACTAAAACTAAAATTATTCAAATGACAAAAATACGACTAAAAATAAAAAATACGACTAAAAATAAAAAATACGACTAAAAATGTATTGTTGTCAAAAGACTCAAACGAAGACTGAAATGAAATTTGCTGTCAAAATTAACACTGCAATTATAACATGACACACACACAATGTTCTCAGATATGTTTGGCTTTAAAAAGCTGTTGGTTTACAATATCACCAATCTATATATAAGAAGTTGACCCCTTGCAGATGTTAAGGCTGTATAACTTTATACCCGCATTTATACCTACAACTAATAAACATGACATAATGGTGTTGTAATGGTGGCAGTACTCTAGCAAGCTCAACATCACTAACACTACTACATAACTACAGTATTGTTGAATGAAATCAAAATCAAATGCTGCCACATTTCTCCCAATTGTCCTTTATGTACCTTGTCAACTGCCATTAACTTGTCAGGCCAAACATGAAAAGAAAATTCATTCGATCCTGGAACATCTTTTGCAGTAATAACATCAACAACTCCTGGCATTCCTAGTGCTTCAGTTGGATCTAAGGATCTGAAATTGACATAGAAGTATTATTGCTGTGTTTGCTTTTACCTTGATATCTTTACATGAAGGATATCTTCACTTGTTTTTTGTGAGCACATATTTTCAGTTGTTATCAGAATGCTTTGCTTAGGGTAATTTATAAAATGACCTTCACAATTTACAAGTTTGCTCTTTCATATTTGTTATTGTATTAAAACTGGAGCATGTAGATTGTTAAATGTAGATTAGCCGCTAGAAGGAGCTCAATGGTCAGTGCAATATTTCTCTGAACATGTGACACAGGTGCTTTGAGTTGCAGTTTGAGTTGAGTTAACTTTGAATTGAGTTACAAGTAAAGCTACTGACTACCTCCAAATGATCAACCCTCTGCTCTAGAACCACCACCACTTTTGGCCAGAGCTGTCTGCTATATATATTACACAGGCATTGACCATTCATAATACCATTCACTGCTCTGTTAGTCCTGAATATTGTAAGTCTTCTTGCACTAGACAGGCTGCCTGCAGCTCTGCAGCAAATTCACATCCTTTACATGCATGGGACGTTAACACACATTAAAATTAGACTTTTTCCTAACATTAATGGTTTTACTCTTTGCCGTATCAACGCTCGATGTTAATGGATAAAAGATGATCAACGCTCGATGTTAATGGATAAAAGGGGAACAACAAAGAACAAGTTCATAGACTGGTTACTTAAGGTCTATTCACAAAAGGGTGAAGAGTTTGGAGAAGGCAGGAGAAGTTAACAATCTAGGCCAAAATAGCCAATTTGTAAAAATTCTCCAATTCAGCTTACTTTCCAGTTCAGCTACGTTGTCCTAGATTGTTCACTTCTCCTGCCTTCTCCAAACTCTTCACCCTTTTGTGACTAGACCCCATAAGTTTGACAAAGAGGTAAAGCGCTTCACTTACATAGTCCCATTTAAAGGATGAGGAAGGTTTATGTTGTGCTCATATTTTCAGTTACACTGTTCATTTTAAAACCTCAAGCTGGATCTCCTAGACTCTCTCCTATGTACCATGCTACCATTTTTAAAGTTAGAGCCCACCAGCGCAACCTATGAGAAAAATGATGGAATTTCTCCACAACAAAAACAGTGAACACCCATAGTGCAATAACCCCCTGTTATATGCAGATGTCAGCTGTCAGAATACAATAACTGGTGGAGGAGATAGCGCTATTTAAGTTCTTTAGTGTGGATGGGAGAATGAAGTGATTATTCTTGTTCAGTTTGTACAGAACCAGAGCTGGTGGGACACCTGTGTTATAACTGTGGACTTGTCCTGAGCTTTCCGGTGTAGAAAGGAACTTGCTTTACAGATTTTGCTAAAAAAATAATGACTGCCCTTAAACCGGCACATATTAAAACTGTTTTCCCCATACAGAAGACAATTTTATATATTGCCTAATTGCCATCTAAAATACTGTTGTATCGAACAAACATACGTTGTTAAAGTTGCCATTTCAAACAAGCCATAAAAAACAGAGACATACTCATCATTTCATGTGGATAATCAGATCATGAAAATAGTACAATGAAATTAAATATACTGACATGATTCTTGCATGAGCTCTAGAGCTAGTCACCAAAGCCATAAAAACCTCTCCATCAATGAAGGGCATATCATCACAGTATACTGCTTCACCGGACATTTGCATCATGGCTGTGCGGTGCATGATGGGACGACCAACAGGATCCTGAGGTGGCTGATGAACTGTATTGTCCTAGGCAGAAAAGAAAACTAATTGTGTAAGCTATGTTTACATGCCATGCTGTGACAAAACAGAAAAGAGGACAGCTATTGATAGTTTGCTGACTTGGTATTTCTGTATAGTCTTCAGGCTTATACCCTGGTTATTGCCATTCTTAACACTATTGTTCAGCCATATTCTGATAGATTGACTATGACCATTCAAAGTGAGCTGTGGGAAAAAGACACATAAATGAGATATGTACAGTATACATGCGCTACATTGTAAAGTAAAAATACTGCCTAATAGCAGATTTCTATCATCTAGAAAGGTTTCTTATTAGCCTTCTCTGAATTAATTTTACTTTGTTATTACTGAGCACTGGCTTTCTCTACGCTGATGACCAAGCCCTGCCATTCCAATGAGAGTGCCTCAGTAGCCAGTAAAAGAATTGTCACAGCACATGAGGATAGCAGTTGGTGGCGTTTAGCCTTCAAGTCATGCACAGTCATGCCTCATGAACAAATTGAACCATTACAATGCATCACAGAACTTTCATTGTAACATCAGCCCTGCGCACAGTGTTGTTGATATGATCAGGACTGGGAGACTTTCATAAATACAGAGCCTGAGGGTTTTTTTTTTTTTTACAGTGTTTCCACATTAAACAGCATGCTTTTGGAATTATAAACCCTGTTGTGAAGTGACACAGATACTACTATGCTCTTTTTGGAAAGCAGATCTGACAACTGCATAGATAATATGTTCATCACTTCACAGCATTTCATTCAAATAGTATATTGCAAAGCTTATGATTTCAATAACATGAACAGGACTAAGAGACTTATAGTTGTAGATGTATACCCTAAACAGGGGCTTAGATAAGGGGGGGAAGGGGGGTTCAAACCCCCCCCAGAGTGTCCTGGCAGTGGCTAGCGAGGGGAGGGCAGAGGGGGGCACGGAGTTTAACAGCGTTCTGAAGGCTCCAGAAAAGGGCCCATCTAAAGGGATGTCCTGTTTGCTAAAACATCGGTGACCGCTGGAGCAGACGCCTATGTTTTATCAAACAGGACATCCCCGGCATCCCTTCAGACGTACATATTTCTGCCTGGCCCTGAATGATCTGTACATGTCTCAGTGCGGGCCCTGCAGGAGACAGGGTGTCCTTCCAGTGATCAGGATCAGAAGGCTGCACAGAGACAGAGCGGGCAATCAGGTAGGGGGGGGGGGGGAGGGGGCTTGTATTAACTGTGAGAATACTACTTCTGTTTTTAGTCCACTGTGTCCCGAGTCTAGTGCTTTCCTATGTCCCGAGTATACAAAATAGCACTGGAGAATGAGGTGATTTGAAGGTGGATCAGGGGAAAACATAGGCAAGGGAACAGTTGGTCTACAGCAGTGGTTCTCAACCTGTGTAAACTCAGGACCCACATTTGTCCTTGGTCATTAGGTCGTGACCCAAGTTGCACTGCAATGGAACGCACGGCATTGCGGTAATGCACGTTACAATGCGGGCAATAGAACTGTGGGTGGGAGGTGCGTTTGAGGTGCCATTCAAATGAATGGCAATGCAATGCACTCCTCACACCAAAATGCATGGTAGGTGCGATTGCGAAGTACAGTGCGTTAATCGCAGCGCGCTGTACTAGTGTGAATGGGCCATTAAAAACAAACAATCTCACACATACACACTCCAAAAAAAAGTAATTTTTGTAAGATCCACCCAATCTCCTTACCTTGTCAGAACTGGAGTAGATCCTTAGCCTGGGGCCCAGTGTGGGCAGCTGTACTGTGATGGAGCTCCATCCATACGTGCATTGCTTGTGCAGCTCCCTTGCACACCCTGTAGAGGTGCCGGGAGCCAGAATGTGGCGTCACACCGGGCCAGCCACCTCTACAGGACATGAGAGGGAGCTGTAAGCATATTTTGAATGGCTGCTTGGCGCAAGAACTGACAGTGCTGTGCTAGGGGAAGGCTGAGGAGCCTAGAAAAGTGGAAGGCACACGGGGACCCACTGAATACAGGCAAATAGTCCCACTGCACTCCTGACCGAGAAGCCCCATATAATGTGTGTGTGTGGGGGTGGGTGGGATGCTGAAGTGGCCACGGATGTCGGGTTTTTTTTTCAAACCTTGGTGTGTCTGCTAGATAAAGTCTTATTATTTG